TTTGAATTCTTTTCAGAATACGCCAAATGAAGATCAAGAAATAGATTTCTGGAATAGTGCTATGGATTAATAGGGTTCTTAATATCTGTAAAAGAATCAATCTGTATTATGGCTTTGGTATTTTTGGAGAAGCATTCTCGTGAGAGGCGATTTCGAAGGAATATGAAGAGACTCCATTTTAGGAATCTTGAACGTTGGTGGAGTAAAATAAGATGCCAAAATGATTACCCTAAATGAGTTAAGGGCCTGTTTGGGCCCGATTTTTTCACCCAAAAAATTGATTTTTTGATCATTATTTCACTATTCCAGTCGTCATATTTGACTTCTTCTCTCACAGTTGGACCCCACTTTTCTCCTAACGGTCAAAAAATCAATTCTCCTAAGTATTTTTTTCTTTTTTCCTCATATTTTGTTTTTACTATAAAATTACACTATTTATGGTATAAAAAATGTTAAAATACAATTTTTGAATATTTATCAAATAATATGTAAGTGGTGTAATTTCTACAATAACGAAAAAATTCTACCTATCAAATTAAATAATAAACTCAAAAACGGAAAATGATAACCCCTTCATAAAGTTATCTAGCCTCAAAAGCTATATTGACGGGATGTTACGATTTTCCTTATCGCCTTGAAAGATAGACTATCACCTTAAAAAGAGCATTTTAGGTGACATTCTTGCTTAGCTAGCGATCATGTGACCTGCCGCGGGGCAAAGGCATGACAAGGATAGTTATATAAATTTGGGAACAATTTATGACTACACTAGAGAAGTTTTTAATTTCAAACTGACTTTTAAATCTCTTGTTGGGTTTTTGATACCCAATAATCTTGAGCGATAATGTTAAACAGTGTCGGATAGTCGGATTAGATTTCATAGGTTTCGGCCGATGATTGAAATATTTATTAACACACTCGATTAATTGGCTCAACCCGAAAAACAATTTGAGGGTCGTTTGAAGCACTTAATATAGTTAATGTTGCTCACGACCCATTTACTTCTTGGATGGCTCAATTTGTGTTCCGCCCCCTTTAAACATTAGTTGGTCCATGAGCCCATTATATTATTACACCCTAAACCTATATATTGCTCTCATTTGTGAAGGAGCCGTGTGTGTGTGCAATTGAAAAGAGGCAGCCTACATTTTTCTCTAGTTTTCTCTCTTGAGCCAAAAATTGAATATGTCTTCCTCTATTCTTTGTGATTCATTGCAGCCATCATATTGTGTTCTTTGTGAACACATTGAATTGAGCAACCGAAGTAAGAATCGTTGTTTAGGTTGGAGCCTTTGTTGGGTGTGTTTAATAAGATAGAGATTGGTTAAATTGAGCCCGAAAAATCCACCATTGGAGGTCGATTATTCAACATTTGGTATTAGAGCGAGGTTGGGGTAGAATTTCCGGCCAAAATCCGACCAGAAAACTGGCGGAAATCAGAAAATAAAAACTGTCCCGAATTTTTTCCAAAAATCGGATCTGCAACTTCAATTTCCGGAGAATCCAGACATCTTTTGGTGAAACGGAGGCCGGATTCGTGATCTGCAAGTGGAGGCGGTGCTGGGTGGCCAGCGCGTTTCGGCGACGACGGCTGACGACGGTGGCGCATGCGGGCACGTGCAGCAATTTCTTAGGAAGCTTTCTTTAGATAGTTTGTTCCTCATATTATTTCTAACATTTTTCGTGTTGGAAGTTTTCTGTTTCAAGTTACACAGAAAAAGTTGGACGATTTTGCCCCTGGAAATCGAATTGCATTTCTTGGCGGACTGCACGGTTATATTTGCTAAATCTTTAGGACGAATAGTGGTGGTCCTAAAGCAGCAGATTCGCATCTCTCTCGATTATACGGGTTCAGACACGTCCGCTCTGGTAAATTGGCTTAACCCGTTAATTTCAGCATTAGCACGTCACCGTGTGGGGGTGACAATAGGTGGAGGGTTGTCATTACTTGACAACCATTGCTTGTGCTAGAAATTAGGATTACTTGCTCTTAATTGTTGCGATTGAGTACTTATTTTTTAATAAATTAGCATATTGTGCTTTGTGCTAAAATTGTCGTGAAATTTCATTTGATTGGATATACCTATTTTGTTGTATCGTAAATTTCGCTGTGTTGTTACTTTTGTTAGAATACCTAGACCTTACCCATTCAAACGTTCCCTTGATCTAAAACCGCGAGTCTTACGAAACCTTGGGAATCTAGAACGGTATGTATTGTGGTCGTAGGATTATTTTGTGTGATCTCTTTACCTAATTGATTGTTTCGTTTTTAAAAAATGTCTTACATTTCAAAGTTGGTATTTTCAATGGAAAATGTGATTTTTCAATCTGGCAACAAAAAATGAAGGGTATTTTAGTCCAACAAAAGGTTTCAAAAATCATTGAAGGCAATTTTTCAGCTAATTTTTCAAAAGAACAAAAAGAAGAAGCCGATGAGCTTGCTTATACCTCAATCATTTTACATCTGTCTGACACTGTTTTGAGAAAAGTAGGAAAACTGAAAACCACAAAAGATCTTTGGAAAAAGTTGGAAGATCTATATTTGCTTAAATCCACTCCCAATAAACTTTATCTTCTTGAGCGTTTCTTCAGTTTTAAAATGGATCCTTCAAAGGATCTTGATGACAATTTAGATGTTTTCAATAAATTTGTCCAAGATATTGTTAACTGTGAAGAAACCGTATCTGAAACCTACAAGGCTATAATCTTGCTTAATTCTATGCCTAAGTCATATAAGGAAGTTAAAAATACCATTAAGTATGGTAGGGATACATTGACTCCCGAGATTGTCGTAGACTCACTTAGGAGTAAGGAGATGGAAATGAAAGTTGAAAATGAAGATAAGAGGAGTGGTGAGTTACACATGATAAGGAGTGAGATGAAGTTTAAGAAAATGAATTTAGGTAGAGCTCAAAATAGTGGTGATTCGAGTAGTGACTCGAGTGATGAAGGTGGTAAGATGAAGGGCAAGGGACGGGACAAGTCTAATTTGATCTTGATTTATGTGGTCATCCTAGCGCAGGGACCATGTTAATCTTCTCTGTCCGAAAGAAGATTAGCATGCCCCTGCGCAAGGATGAATCTACCCAGTAGTGTCCAGTGTGGTCTTATTTACCTCTAGCATGTCGTCTAATGTATCTCAATCCTGTCTATGCTTTCTAATCTCAATTCACTATGGTGCTATCTACATTATTCCAACTTTGTTCACTACTGACCTGTTGGGTTTTTGATACTCAATAATCCCGGGCGATGATGTTAAACAGTGTCGGATAGTCGGATTAGATTTCATAGGCTTCGGCCAATGATTGAAATATTTATTAACACACTCGATTAATTGGCTCAACCCGAAAAACAACTTGAGGGTCGTTTGAAGCATTTAATATAGTTAATGTTGCTCACGGTCCATTTACTTCTTGGATGGCTCAATTTGTGTTCCGCCCCTTTTAAACATTAGTTGGTCCATGAGCCCATTAAATTGTTACACCCTAAACCTATATATTGCTCTCATTTGTGAAGGAGCCATATGTGTGTGCAATTGAAAAGAGGCAGCCTACATTTTTCTCTAGTTTTCTCTCTTGAGCCAAAAACTGAATCTGTCTTCCTCTATTCTTTGTGATTCATTGCAGCCACCATATTGTGTTCTTTGTGAATACATTGAGTTGAGCAACCGAAGTAAGAATCGTTGTTTGGGTTGGAGCCTTTGTTGGGTGTGTTTAATAAGATAGAGATTGGTTAAATTGAGCCCGAAAAATCCACCATTGGAGGTTGATTATTCAACATCTCTTTTTACTTTGAAAATATCTTTTTTCGAATTGAATTTTTTGGTACATTTTATTACAGTTGTTACATTATTATACAACTTGTCTCCTCCACCATAGTCGTTGTCGCTAATTATGTCACATTTGTCACGCTCAATTTTTTGTCATCGAAACAACTTATGACCTACTTTATTGCACTATTACTGCCACCATCACCTGTAACATACCTTGTTACAATGTCACTATCGTTCCTGCTGTCTCCACAAACAACTTGTAATGTTACAATACCACTATCATCACTAGCGAGCCCCACTACTAGTCAAACCAAATGCCAACACCACGACATCCTCCCCGAACCATTCAAAGATTGCCGCTTCACTACTTTCCACCATCACCCCACTAGATCTGTACCATCATAATCACAACCGCCAAACTAATGCCACCCCAGATTTGTGCCACTACCATCACCACAAGATTTGTGCCACTAGCACTCTCTGCAACCACCGATCACCATCATCCACCCACTACAATCACCACCAATTACTGCCAATCGAGACCCAATTTTTCCTCTTAGATGATCAACCTTACCTCAAATAGGTTAAAATTCGTGGCTCCATCTCGAACATGAGAGTTATTAAATCCTAACTCGTGGGAATGATCAAATGTTATCCAAATGATAATAATGTTCTTTACTTACTATTTATTTATAAAATAAATTGGGTAAATATTTTGAATATTACATTTTACTTGCCATTTTAATTTTGAGTTAATAAACTTGGTTCCTTAGAATTCTTATGGATGAATTTTTTTTGGATGCTTACTACAATTTGGGAGTACAACCAGTAAACCTCGCCTCAAGCCCTGAAAAACTCGAGCATGGCCTTCTTGAGAGCTCTCTGTATTACTCGTGTTGATCTCTATTCTTATTTTTTCTTGATTCTTTTATTCACTGAATAAAGTATTTATGAAATGGGTTTCAATTCTTTAGTGAGGGTATACTTTTGTAATGGATTAATTTGCATGTGGGTGAACAAATATAGTATTTTCTTGTTGAACTCATCAATCAGAAAATCCAAGTTATTGCTAAACTCAACATAATTAGACTAACTTTTGACTCATGGGTTCACCTATAATGATTTAAAGGATCATTACAAAATAATGGAAACTTTTGGCATCATTTATAATGATCGTACCCTGCTTAAGTGAAAAGCTTGAGAACTAATGCTTGAAGACAATCAGACAAATCAAACATTAGCCCAATTTTTGCATTTCTGGTGCCACGTATAAGTTCGCCAATGGCGACGGACAGTGGCGATCGACATATTACTTTGAGACGAGACTATTTTAAATTCTTGATATTTGCCTCTCAAAAACCAGTGAAGTGCAATCACTCGCTGTCTGGCTCTCTCATAAGCGTTCACTTCAAATTTTCTCAAGAAAAACAAAGTAAATGCAGTTGCAGCTACATTCTCAAAATGTTGGATTTCACAACCATAACAGAAGCAGCTAAATCAAGCTTCTCTGAATCTCATCAATTTTGGCATCCAGGAAACAAAAAATGAACCTATTTTTTTCTTTTCTGCGGGTCCAATATATCATCATTTAAGAAGAGATCTGGCAAGATGTTCTCGTGCAGTAGCCAGAGCTTGACTTATCGTCTGCAAAAAATAAATTAATGATTGCAATCATGAGTTAAGGCCGCATATTGTGGTAGTTTTTGTTGTCATTTATCCAATTTTTTTCCATCGAAAGAGTTAAAGAGAACCCAAAAGATGCATACCTGCTCTGACAGAGGTGCTCCAGCATCCACACTGTTACTTGCAACTTTAGTTGCAATGCTATTTGCATCGGTTTCCAGAATAATTCTGTACAAAACAAGAAAAATTATATTTGGAGCAGCTAATGACAAATGGTAGCTAATTCTTTTATGTAGTGTTATTTTCTTAATCTTATTCTATATTCTTCACTTCCAACATTAAAAAAGGTTTATGTTTTCATACACGTGACATGGGAATGGACAGTGGCTATAATGCTAAAATCTGCAGGCGAACAGTGTCACTAACTTAAAGCATGTTGGCTAAGCTTATATAAGTTTCACTTGCTTCTATATAAATTTTTTTTCCCAAATATGTTCGGACATGTTTGTATTACTTTCAAAATAAGTAATTCTTATTTCCAATTTTGACTAATAAAAGATTTTATATCGTAAACTTAATTGTTTGCTCATAAGTAAAAGAAAAATATAAGCTTAGTAAAAAATGCACTTAATCAAGAACTTCCACGAAATTCTAGCCATGACAGCACATATTCATGTCCTTCGTGCATGCAAGAGGAAGCATTTTCTGTAATTCATCACAGTAAGCATTGGCACGCCACAGCAACAGCAAACTAACTAGAATGCAAATGATCAGAAGAATAATTATAATGCTTACCCGCCGTCAACAATTTCATCAATGCACAAAAGAATGAGATCCAGATTTTCAAGCGCCTCCCTCTTATCCACGTTGCCCCTGGAATAAAGAGCCAGTAAAATGAAATAAAGAAAGTAGTTCAGAATAATCTAGAATAAGAAACGTAAATATGACCCCGAACAATTAAGTGTGAACTACCTAAGTAGGATACCAACAGCATCAAAGAATCCCTGAAGAACAGCAGCTAAGATGATCTCATTTTCATCTTCACCCCCAGTAACATAAAAGTAAAGGTCTTGAACAAACTTGTAAACCAATATGTTATTCTCTAACATAGTTATCTCCGCTGTAGATGAAGTAACAAGAAGTTAGCTAGAAACAAATGGAAAAACGGACACAGGAGAATTTGTTAAGCATGCAAACTGCCTTCACAATTCTAATATATTGATTGCCAAATAAGAAACGTTAAAGTTTGCACATTCACCTCTCACCAGCCCAGATAGTGTGATGGTCCAAATGTGATACATGCAACACATAAGAATGTGAAATAATATCCCAGTACTCTGGTTTTAAGATCATTGAAAGTACGTAAAATGACCAAGCCTCAGAATCCACTCTTTGGAAAAATTAGGCATAGTAAACCTACAGTTTTGAATGGGTCAAAACCCTTTAATTAAAGATTACAAAGTCAATCCCCTCAACCAATTCACAGAAAACATGACTCCTAAAACAATACGGCATAAATTTATAAGCCATTTGTTATAATTAGTCAGCTTTAATTGGGTAAATATTTCTTTTCCAAAGCTCTAAAGGGAACAGAAACCATTAACTAACAATCTACTAATTCTAGGTTCGAACTATGGGAAACAATTAAAAAGCAAGTGCTAGAAATTTCAGTATAACTCTAACTTGGCAGTTGCCTCCCCCATCACCACTAGGAAGCCCACCGAAGGTAACAGGTTGGCAACATAAGCTCAAGAAGTTGTTCAATGTGGAGACCACTATCACAGATTAAAACAGCAGAAAACACAAAGAACCTAACTAACCAAACCAAAAGATCCATCCATCTCATGTCGTTAGTCACACCATCTCTTGGCGCAAAGAAATTCACTTTTGTGTTCAACACCTCACATACACAATGTCAACTCTCAAATCCGTTCCCTACTACTCTTACATTTTTATTTTTATTTTTTTTTTGAAAGGTTCTTTTTTTCTGGAAGGACATATTTTAAAATGAATTTGAAATCATTTTTTTTCTTATAATATCATATTTTACAAAAGTGAGAATATTTGGAGGAAGAGCTTAGTTGTTCATAGTGTATTGAGAGATTTTGCAATCTAGACAGAATTTTTTTCTGCTTTGACTGGTGACATTCTTTGTGGGTTCAAAAATTTAAGAGAGAAGGTATATGATGTTCCAAAGCAGGACGGATGCACAGAAAAGATGAAAGGGGTTGACAAATATGTTAAATGATATTAACTACTGGTACTTAATACTAGATAAATTATACAGAGTAACCCAACAAAAAGTTTTAAATGAATTTTAAAGTCCACTAGCACCTTCTGTCCGAGCATTTGTCTTCTGAGTCTTGTTAAATACAGCCTTCTCAAAAGCTTCCTTTGCGTTATTTGTTGGCCAGTCATCGGAATAGTACTTGACAGCAATACGTTTTCCTTCTGAATCTAGAAGAAGAATGTTCTTAACGGAAGGGCAGGTCTCCTGTCAACAAGAATTCACTTAATACGAGCCGACATACTGCAGGATTTCTATTCTTATTTTTAGACAGTCCCCCCCCCACCCCCAAAAAGCAAGAAGGTACAAGTTTCTGTTGCATGTGAAGCTCACCACAACTCTTTAAGGAAAAAAGATTGGTCTACAAGAAAATCAACATCAATAATGATAAGCTGGGGGTAATTTCATCTTTGATTTTAAGTTGCTCGGATATTGTCTGAGAAAATCATGGATGCACAGATCATGAAGTTTACTTAGAAATCCAACATCAATGAGGTAACAGGAGAGTTGCATAAAGTTCCATGAAATAGATTGCACACTAATTAACATTCATGTGAAGAGTTGCAAAAAGTTTCTTCCTTTTCATAGCAATAGCCTTGAAGCATGAAGAATTCTAATTTCCAAGCCAACAGTAAAATAATTCTTGTAGTCAAATATCATCCCGTGCCGTTCATATTCATCAAATCCCATATGTTTCAAGGGAGTTCTTTCACAGAAGATAATTTGCCAATCATTTTGTCATATAAAAGAAAATTATGTTCCAAATTTTGTCATTTGATTGCAATGTAAAGGGTCAGGAGAAAAAAAAAATAAAAAATCGTAAGCCCTAAATGGCACCGTATATCGAGCTCTAACACTAACATAAATTTGCTACCGCCAATTGTAAATGCAATCGGTAAATGTCAGATCAGAGGCACGGATCTAGAAAGTACCAAGAAGATTAGAGAGGAATTAAACACATCCGGAAAACCCTAGATCAGATCATGCTACAGTGTTGATTCCAAAAGTAACAATAAAATTAGACGAATTCCAGTATATGATTATAAACTAAAAAGCGTGATCTTAGCCACCAATACACGTAAATTGACGAGTGCGTATGGAGAGAAAAAAATATAGGTACATATATATAAACGTATATAGAAAAAGAGAACTGACCATAGTGAGTAATCTCCGACGGAGAGATCTCAGCAGTTTCTGAGATTGCGGATCTCACAGTGCACGCAGGGTTGTAATAATAATAATAATAATAATAATAATAATAATAATAATAATAAATAAATAAATAATAATAAATTGCCCCTATTTGTCACCAAGACGCCAACCTTTTAAAACTCATTTACTTTGGACTTATAATTTTATCAATTTTAACCTCTTTTTTTGTCATTTTTTACACAAGTAATTACTAATTACTTGTCAAAATTGTACTTTTATTTTTAAAACAAAAAAATTTTAACGAGTATGCAAGATTGTGTGTGTGTGTGTGTGTGTGTGTGTATAAAACCTATCTCGACAAAATGAGAAACTTTAGTCCTTGACTCGATGAGTGGTTTGGCATTGTCCTCTACGGTATTTATTTATCATATATTCATAAACACAAAATAATATAAATTATAAACATTACAATAGTAAGAATTTAAACACATACCTGCTTCTGACCCTATTTGCTACAACTTTAGTATTATACGTACATCACAACTTACAAATTCATTTATCAACAGTTGACATGACGAAATTTAACTCTAAGTCAAAATCTCACTATCAAAAAAAATATAAAAATCTCCCAATTTTGTGTTACCGTTAACCCACATTACATAAACACAACCATTTAAATAGTCAAGAGATTGTTATGATTTTAATTCAATTTATCGCCACTTCATCAATTTATCAAAGAATTTGTAAATGGTAATGTACAAGAAGTCAATTTATAAGGGTATTGTTTTGTCAACAAATTAAACAAAATTAGCTTATTTCATTTTCCCTCTAATATTGGCCAATATTCATTTTACCAGAAGTCCATTAGGCTGCAGAATTGAAGCTAAGAGGCTGTGCCATCATGAAGAAGATAATGGTAATTTCATACAAAATAATTCCAAAAACAGCAAAATAATCTTACAAATTTTGAATAAACAAATAGTTTCTAAGCCCCAGTAACAGTATACAAATTTTGCACGAACCCTTCTCCCTCTCTCCAGCCAAAAGACTCTTTCCACAGTATAATCATACTTTTGTCTTCTGCTTCCTATGCATTTGCATAGCCTACTTGGAAAATGCAATTCTTCAAACAAATGCATTTTTCTGACTATAGATTGCAAAAAATAATTACGACAATATATATATAAATAATATCATCGTAGAGCATGCGATCTATTTTGGCGTTTCCTCGTGTTTTCTCCCAGCTTTATTTAAATCTACAAGGCTTTTTACTTTTGATAATGCTAGTGTTAATAAGGCAGTCGTCGATAAATTGTGTAGGACACTTCAACCTGATTTTGGTGGGTATTTGTTTCATATTCGTTGTGTATGTCATATCTTGAATTTAATTGTTCAAGATGGTTTAAAATATATAAAGGATGAACTTCAAAGGATTAGGAATGCATTAGTATATATTACGATCTCTCCTAGTAGAAAACAAGCATTTGAAGATTTTTGTGCCGAACTAGGAGTGATGACTACTAAAACATTTGTTAGCGACATAGGTCATAGATGAAACTCTACATACTTGCTATTAAAATCATGTGAAGGTTTCGAAAATTTAATAACTGACTTTTATAACAATAGACATGTTAGAAGTGATGACGATGGTATGTTAAATGAATCCGATTAAATTTTAGCTTTGAAAGTTAAAACGATTTTTGACATCTTTTTATGAGACCACAAAAATTTTATCCGGCGTTTATTATCCCACAAGCTGTATGGTGCTTGAACGCCTTTATATAATTGCAAGAACATTCCATAAATATAAAAATGATCATACTTTTAGTAAAATTTTAATTGTTATGGAATTAAAGTTTAGAAAATATTGGGAAGAACTGCCTATGTTATTTCCTTTAGCATGCGCAATGAACCCCCGATATAATATTTCGGGAACTAAATATGTAATTGATCAAATCAATGAAGCTTTAATACTTGATACACCTATCACCCATAAGAATTTAGATCAAATATTATGTGGAATGTATTATTTATATGCGGAAAGAATGGGTGCGAATGTTAGTCGGGTACCCTCTGCTGCACCTACTCTTTCTACTGAAACTGAAGAAGATGCTGCGGAAATAATGAATTTATTTCAGGACATTAATACATTTAGATATGATTCAACTGCAATGTGTTCATCTAGTGTCATGTCGTCTATATCTGTATCTCATGAAACATTGGCCGAAATTCAAAATGCGATGCCTGCCGAATTGATTGATTATTTCAATCATAATATGCCAACAAACAAAATAATTAAAAAAACTTCAGAAGAAGTAATTGAATTCTGGCGAAAGTATGAAAGACGTTGACCAATTGTTTTTGCAATTGCGAAAGATCTATTGATACCTCCGGTTAGCACTGTTGCTTCGAAGTCTGCTTTTAGTGCAGGTAAAAGGGTTTTGACCGATGTCAGGAACCGACTGAAAGAAGATGTTTTGGAAGCGTTAATGTGTGTAAAGGATTGGCAGGACGCTCATTTTCGACTACAAGATAAATATGCTGAAATTGCATGTCGTCAGCTAAGTGATATTTGATTTAATTATATTTATCATTTTTTTAATCGTTAAATTTAATCTTCTTTAAAAAATTGTACACATTACAACAAATTTTTCGTGTACATTTTTTAACTCCGCCTACTTAAAATTGATATAGCCGGTCCTAAGTCCGAATAAAGGAGGAGGGTTTACATATTATTAACTTTAAAAAGAAATAAAAAAAATATATTTTTTAAATGTATTTTAAAAAATAATTCGTTTTCATTATATAAATATTTTATAGTTTATAAAAAGTATTACAAATTACAATATGATATAAATAAAAAAAATAAAAACTTATTTTCGTTAAATTATTTATATTTTTTAACACTTTTTATTTTTAAAACTCTATTCTTTATTAACTTTAAAAAGAAATCAAAAAATATATTTTTTGTAAATGTATTTCGAAAAATAATTCGTTTTCATTATATAAATATTTTATACTTTATAAAAAGTATTACAAATTACAATATGATATAAATAAAAAAAATAAAAACTTGTTTTCGTTAAATTATTTGTATTTTTTAATAATTTTTATTTTTTAACACTTTTTATTTTTAAAACTCTATTCTTTATTAAAAAAAAAAAAGATAGGCGAGCCCACGAGCCGAGTTCGCCCAATTTCAACGAGCCGAGCCCGAGCTCGGCTCGTTGAAAACGAGCCACAAGCACGAGCCGAGGTCGTGGCATTAAGGGCCAACCCTAGGTGTTTCCATCATTCCTTCGCACTTTTCCTTTTTCGATGGGCGCCTGCTACTTAGTTCATGTATTCTCATGTATTATATAAAATTGGTTTATTTTAGTCCCATTTGAAGAGTAAATCTTAAATTCTTAGGGTATCTCCAAACCAATTCTCTTTGCCAAATTTCACCCAATTTTTGGTGCAATTCGTCTCCAACCTATTGCATCATTTTGGTGAAAAATGGTGAAAATGCACACCAAAATGATTAAGCCCCCGTTTCATTCTCATTCTTTGACCATAAAAATGAAAAATGTAACCGTTATCCATCACATCAAGCCACAATTTTTGACTTTTTATTTCTTTTGTGGGTCCGTAACGGCTATATTTTTACCCTTCTTTTTCACTTTGCACCAAATTTTTGTTAAGTATATTTCATATTTGTGTCCATTTTTGTTATACAACCATTTATTATTATTATTATTATTATTATTATTACAACACTAGTTCGACTTCGTAATATCATGATATCAGGATTCGGAACGTTTTATATTTTTTTCATTAACACGATTTAACATTTTCTTAGTTGTGGCATTTCTATTTATTGTACAACATTACTTTTAAATTAATTAATGAATTCAATATTTTCGTTAACTAAACGTAATTATCTGTTTAATAATTTACTTAGCAAAAAATAAATAATTAATTAATTTTTAAGATAAATAAATTGTTAAAAATGAAAAAAAATTAAGAGAATGATTAAACGGTGTTCATTTGGTATAAGTTTTGGTGTATTGGGTTGGAGATGGCCTTAGAACTTAGTTTTAATGGTTGAATAAGCAAATGGTTCTGAATTCAATCAAACCTCGTGAAATTTTAAATCCCTAGAAAGTTTAATCTTTTATTCCTACCTAATGAACATATCGTCCGTGAATCCATTAACACTCTTAAAGTGACAGTAGAAGGACAGAGAGTGAACAGGACATCTCTCTTTTGCCCACATTTTTTTTTCTCTAGTAATAGTGTAATGTTTCTGGTCTGTTTAAGCACTAATCTATTTAGTCTGAGAGGCATCAAAAGGAAAGGCCCTGGTACCAATCTATTTCCATTGATCCATTTAAAATCAAATTAGTTCACATTCCGGTCTATTTAATTGCATATAATTAACCAAAGCTAGAATTACTTACAAAAACTACAGCTTAAATAAGGTCAAGAACTTGCAAAATAGAATTGAACACACGTCTGAATTCTGTCAATAACTCGAAATAAGAATACACAGACCACCGCTACCATCACAATCCAAAGGCATTTCCCAGCAAAGCAATGAAACCTAATAAGAAGCATCAATATTTCTTACCATCAAATTCCTTTAGCAGAGCTAATTTGTTTTGCCATTGCAGATGGTGTAAGTAATGAAAACAAGAAAGTATTGATACACGGGATGGATTAAAGTGGACATGATTATCTTTAGAGTTATTTAGGCCGAGTTTGGGAAACGAGTATTTCAAAGATCTTCTGTCCTCCATAAGCATAATAATACATCCACGAAAACTTAAGGATTTGGACATGTCTATCTTTGTAACAAGTCACGTGTCGCTCTTCTTGCTCGAACCCACACCTATAAGCTGTACCACTATGCTGGAAATATCTAATTATAGAAGCAAGGGACATGTTTATTTTATGAAAGGTAACATAGAGCAAATGAATTCTACATTTCGAAGCAACGGAAGATCTAACTATTAATTCTAACACAAGGATATCAGATTCTACTATATGAGTTTCATTCAGAGTTTCACTCCTATCTAGTTATAATTTGAACCATTTAATTACAAAAGCACATAATATGCTTTATAAAAAATAACAAAGGGCAAATGACTTCAACATATTCGAAACCATTGAAGCTTTCTACATTAGGCCATTATATCACAGCAGGACATTGGAAGATCTAACTATTAGAGATTACATAGTTATTTAAATTTTTACAGATCACAATGCAGATTAATCGAAACCCAATTACAAAAAATCGACCCAAATCTCACATTTTTCAGGAAGTTCAGGAAAATACCTCAGGCAGAGTCTCAATTTGACAATGGCTTCTGCAAAAGGGCAGTCAAATAAACTTCACCATTCTTCACCCCACTCGAATCAGTCTTATTTCCCACAGCCCACTTCACTTTCTTGTACCCCAACTTCCCAATCAAGGGTGAAAACACCTTCTCAAGATCCGTCCTTTTACTGAAAAAATGGTCCAACCAAAAGTACCCTCCACCTCTCAATACTCTATCCACATCAAAGAGCAAAAACTCCATTGTGATCAGCGGTATCCACCTGTTGACAGCACGCCCACACCTCACAAGATCCACCACTCCATCGAACACCGGCAGCCTCTGCTGCAATGGCACATGGAGTGGTACTAATCCTCTCAGCGCAACCGCTTCATTATATGGAGCACCAAAATTCATTGTGGTGGTTATCACTGTCACATTCTGCACCTTCATGTGGGCAGCAAAAGTGCCGGTGCCACCGCCAATATCAAGTGCAAGTCTAATGACACTTTTGGCTGATTTAGAAAGCTGGAAAAGCTGCTGGATTGGGAGATCTAGATCTGTTTTATAAGTCAAGAATCTTGATTTCTCTACTGTCATGTCAAAACCCATGTCAGATTTAGTACTTGCAAAGCAGGAGAAAGTCTTGCAGCGGTAATGCCCCAATAATGCTGTGTTTTCCGGAAGTGTGGCAAATGGGTTTGTGGGAAGTGAGGATGGGATGGTAGAGGTGGTTCTTGAAAAGCAGCGGCGGCGGGGGAGGGGGTGGCAGCCTCGGAGGATAAGATCCTCAGCTAAGGGAGAATCATTTGGGCACAAAGCAAAGGGAGTGTAGTTCATATACTGGTGTAGGAGGAGAGGATGGTCTTTACAAGAGGAAGCAATAGGAGCTATATGAGTATATAGGAGGAGATCAGAAGGGGTGGAGGAGGGGGATTTCTTGGTAGGTGAAGAGGATGGCTGGAGGCTGGTGAGGTGGTTGATGGTGGCGCGTATGGTTGACAGCTGGTGGATAAGGTGGTCGGGAACTGGCGGAGGAGCCGGTGGAGTGGACTGGATGGTGGAAGAGAGGTGGTAAAGGGACAGAATATTGGTGGCCACCATGGCTAGCAAGAGAAGCAAATTTAGACTCATCGTGAAACCCATATTCAAGATTTATTCTGATCTTTCACAAGGAATTTCTGCAGATTATGCAGATGCTCTTTCAACTTGTATACCCACTCCAGTGTGATTGTGTGACTTCGGTGGCATACAACTATCAATCGTGTTTTAGAAAAAAGGGAGGTTGAACTGAGGGCCCACCATCCCGTTCCTAAAATTTTGTGGGAAATATAAATCGCAAGATTTGTTCCAACATGTTAGGGAATAAGAACTATCTGTGTACTACGTCTATAAGGAGTCCAATTTCATGTCTCAAAAATCAAACCTCCACACTACAGCTACCAACAAGACGTGAGATAACTTCACACCTACCCTTTACACCACTGAATTATGTTCGGGGCACTATCAATCGTGTATGTATCTATTAATGCGGGGTTGCCTTGACGTGGGAATCTGAGATTTTAAGTGGCTAAATTTTGGATCCAAAGTAGATTCTTTTTATATTCTTTTCTTGTCAAGCTCAAGCTCTTTAAAAAACCAAGTGTTTTAAATAGATTCTTTAAATATGATATGTTCTTTATTTTAAAGAATTAATCGTTAAAATTATGTTCATTTTTTTTTTAAATTAACATTTCAATTTAGAAAGTGCATTCAAATTATTTTAATTTTCAATATAAAAAATAATATAATAATTTAGAAAAAATTAGTTAAAATAAAAGATAAAGAAAAATAATAAATATTTTTTGAGAATAATAAAATTAAATGTTAAATATAAAGAGAGTATTCAAATACTTCAAATTTTCTATTCTCTAAATTATAGAATATGCTCTTTAAAAATAGAGAATTTCTTTAAGACACTCTAATAAAGATAATAATGCAACGTACTTTGGCACCTGTTGGGGGGAATAGTTTTGGAATAGTATTTTTTTAAGAATGCGTGGTTAAAAAAAAAAAACTTTTGCAATATTATTTTATTGAAGAGCATGTGATTAAAAAGAGGAGATGGAAAAAATGCATTGCATTAAAATGGAGTCCAAAGAGGGCTTAATTTCACTAATGATAAATTAAGTTTAAGCAAAATTTTAACTTGATTAAATTAAAGTACTTTTTAACCCATTTAATCATTAAATTTAAATAATGTTACATATTGGTTACTTCATCACCTAATTAATGGCATATTTGTTGTAACCATTAAAACTATAGTGACCCGATCCTTCCAGAGGCCTCCTACTAAGAGTGGCAATTGGATCTAACGATTTGTATAAATCCAACTTATGGGCTGTTTGGACGCGTCAATCCTTCCCGATAGCCTCCTACTAAGAGTGGCAATTGGATCGAGCCATTCGTATAGATCCAGCTTTTATGTTGTTTAGATGAGTCGAACTTGGCTCAACATGTCACTCGGAGAGCAGCTCAACAAGCTCGTGGGCTGTTTTGTAAATGTGATTGTTCGGTCACATTATTTGGTCAATTATGATCGGTCGACACCCCAACGGTCTGATTTTTATTTTTAATTTTAATTTTAAGAAAGATAACTCAATAAATATTCACCCTTCTATTTCATTTTTTCACATCAATCCTCCACAATCTAAATATTTCAATTCTCAACTCCTTATTATGCAATATTCCTCATAAAAACATAAGTTACATGATTTATCACTTCAAGATCAAGATCAAGTTCAAATCTTTTCGTCTATTATTTTCTAGTTCTACTTTCCGATTTCTTTTTATATCATATGGATCCCAATAAATAATTTGAGCTTCTGTTAGATGGTGTTGTCAATTCCAACACACCATTGACATCACAAATTAAGCAACTGTTACGAGAAAGCAAAAATAAAAATAAACTATTAAATGCTGTGAACGTTTCAAATTGGTGTCCACGGTTCATCAAATTGATAAAATGCAAGAATCAAAAGCAATATGTAGGTAGTGCCAATCAAAATTGGTATGGCAAAAGAGTATCAAAACTACACACCTCGATGGACATTACAAAAAATGTTCAACCACACATGGAGTTATGGGTCAAATTCAAATTCAACTCCATTTTGTTTGTCCTTCTCTCGGTACTAGTTCTAGTTTACAAAGTACATGAATTTATTTAAGAGAGATGTTGCTAGAGAATAGTTAAGTTCGTAGTTGGTGCTGAACGGCCATTAATATAGTGGACAACAAAAATTTCATCAAACTCATACAAGATTATCTTCAACCAAGGGTATGTTGCAGTAAAATAGAAACACTCTTTGTGCTAATTGCATTGATTATTCTTTTAACTTGTATAATGGACCCTAGATATAATTTAAAAGGTACCAAAAAAAAAAATTTATACACAAAATCTCAAATATATTAAATTTTGATGCTTTGGTTACATATTCTAATATAGAGAATACTTTAAGTGAAATGTAAGAATGGAATCGCACCCGGCACTCGCTCTACCACTAATTTTAACCAACACAACGATTGTTTAATTTATTGATACTGGTTAACGATTAAATAATTAATTTAGGTTCAAGTATATCTCTTTTCTATAATACATTAGATATGAGTTTGGGTGTAATACCTATAGAATTAGCTAAATATTTTACTCACCATATGCTTAAAATTCTAGACTCAGCCAAATCGATGGCATAGACTTCCTTAATTTTTGGAGAGAAACATTAATATCTAGTTGTTTCTATCGTAGGACGTGATCTACTAACACATCTACTTAGCACTGTAGCATTAGAATTTGCTTTTAGTATAGGTAGCGGAACTTTGTTCAAATTCATATCACGACTCAAAAAAGACATATTAGAAAGTTTAATGTATATATAGGATTGACAAGAAGCTTGGTACTGAGTTCAAAATCAATATGTCCAAATTTCGTCTTAATTAGATAAATGATATTTAAGTTCGTCATGCTAAGTTATTTCTTAATAATATTCAAATTTTTTAAAAAGAAAATTATACACGTAATAAATTATTCGTATACTATTTTAACTCTGTCTACTCTAAAATTAAGCAATTGATCCCAAGCTCCTAAAATGACGAGGTATTTTAAAATTCAAAAAAAATAAAAATAAAAAGAATGTTGTACTCGTGGGCAAGTTTGGCTTGGCCCTTGAGCACGACCTGAGCTCATGTGGACAAGGGCCATTGTCATCCCTACATTCTACTTTATAATTACGCCCCTTACATATAATTTAATAAAATTTCAAATTTTACTGTGTAATATTTTTTTTCCAAAATTATTTTAAAATTGTAGTAAAAAAGAGAAGGGAAATATCACTTAACTCATTCATGGTAATTAATTATAGGCTGATTTTCTCCGTCAAATACGTCATTTACTATAATTAGCCCATATTCAACACGAAATCAACATCATGTAATTTTGAATTGGGGTAACACAAAGAATACCCAAAGTCAGAAGATGGAAAGATTTTGATATCCTAATTATTTTTTAAATTACACACACTGTCAGACAGAGGATCCTAAGAAAATCCAATCACATTTTAATATCAGATACAGACATGCCACCATATATTTTCAATCAAGTAACAACACAAACTAAGAATACTGAGAATAAATTGTAAAGCCATACTTCATATGACGAATTGGAGTTGGAGAATCTAAAAGTCGAATTGAATTATATATATTTAAATCACATGATAATTCCAGTAACATTTTCTTGTAATTTGGATGATTCAATTCGGTAATATATGTTTCTACAACAATATTTAATTCTTTATGAACTGATATTGAAGAAGAAAGAAACCAGAATTTGATTCTGAGTAGAGACGAATTTGGGTGCCTTTTTGTCCATTATAAATTATGAAATTTGCATTGATTTTGGAGAGTAATTAATTGATAGGCTTAATGTCGATGATTTTAAGAAATGTCAGTTACACCATTGTTTGAAATCTAAATTTGATATGTAGTATTTGTTAAATTATTTACCGTGTATTTTCTAAATTACAAACGTAATATAGTATTACCTTTCACTCCGATGTCACACACTACAAGAAAATATGGCTTTCCCAACCAACTTTTCCCTATCAATCAAAAAATAGTCGGTGAAAATGCTTCTTTACCAACCAAAAAAATCATGTAGTCGACCAATTCTTTTGCCAACCACATTTTTCCCGACTCAAGAAAAGCAGTCAATAAAAACCGTCTTTGCCGACCAATGTTTATCGGCCCACCAAGAATTAGTCACTAAAAATGATATTTACCGACCACGGATAATTGTTGGTCGGCCTAAACTAGTTATATCTGCCTACTATTTTCATCTAGTCGGTAAATAACTTATTTTTGAGTAAATTTTTTTGGCCGAGGACATGGCGCCTAAACATATTACCGACCAACAACAAGTATTGGTTGCCTAAACAATATATATTTGTCGACTAGTTAAAATGGGTCGGTGAATATCTTATTTTTGGGCAAATTTTTTGGAGGGAATGTGGCGCCTATACGTTTACGAACCAAAAATAATTATTGGTCGGCCTAGATAAAATATATTTGCCGACTAGATAAAATGGGTCGGTGAATATCTTATTTTTGGGCAAATTTTTTGGAGGGGGATGTGGTGCCTTAACATTTACTGACTAAAAATAATTTTTCATCGGCCTAGACAAGATATATTTGCGGGGTCGACGAACATCTTAATTTTGGGGCCAAAATATTTGGCGAAAAATAGACCGACTAGTTATTTACCGACTAAAATAATTCATAGTCAACATACATGAGACATACTTACCGATTAAATGAAAGGGGTTAGTGAATGTCTTATTTTTTGGGCTTTTTTGCTTCAGGGGATGTGGCACGACAACATGTAATGACCAAAATAGTTATTATTCGTCCCACATAAGACATTATTGCTTACCAAATGAAGGGGGCTCGGCGAATATCTTATTTTTGGGCTAAAATATCTTGCGGAGATATGGTAGCTATAATTAATTGGACTTTTAGACCCAAAATACATTTGGTTAGGGTAAGAAATTGTTATCTATCCTCCCACTACTAAAAATTTATTAATTACAAATTTCCATTGCTATTACCAACATAATTTTGGATTTTATTGTGACCAACTAATACTAATTTTTTTTTCATTTTTTTAATTAAAAAAATGAAATTATCAATGGATTTACACTTGCAATAATTTATTCGGTAAAATCCAAGATAATTCAT